TTGTAATACATAAGACAGCCATCCACAGGAGAGGAGTATCTAGTTTGAAATGGCAGTGGAGTCGAGGTCAAGAAACCTTGCTCTAGAAGACTGAGACAAAGGCTGGGTCCTGGCCGTTTGGAATGAGACTATCCTGCAGCTGAGGAAGGTGGAGTAGCAGGGAGAAGGAACAAGATGGGCCCAGTAGGCTGAAGCTGCAGGAAGCCAGGCTGGAGCATGGTTATAGGAAAAGCATAGAAAGCCAATGATTCTTACAGTTAAGCCAGAGCTGAGCCACCAGGAAGACAGATCTGATTCTTAAATCTTTAACATTGCTGATCTAGGGGCTTCTTAAATCATCCCCTAGAGAAGTGAAAGAAATCTGTATTTTATACTTCTTATGGATCCAAAACTTTGTGGATTTTACACAGCAAAAATTTGTCTTATTTAATTCTAATATCCGCATGAGAAACACATGTTACCTTCCTGTTATGGGAAACAGAGTCTATGATACAATTGCCTATTTATTTACATGACTCTATCATGAGCTTGAGAACTCCTTGGTGGTAAGGATGAGTCTTTCCTCTCTGTTTTTCACGTATGATGAATGCTGTGTATTAGGCACTCAATAAATATGAATGGATAAAATTAATGCTGAATAAGAAAAGTTAACTACTAAGGGGAATCATGAATGACTCTGAAGTCCTTATTTAGCAAGATTTTAGTTTAATAATAGTTTTGGATTTACAGAAAAGTTACAAAGATAGTATAGAGAGTTCTTGTATACCTTACACACAGTTTTTTTTCTATTAATAGGAGACACATCACTGTATATCAAAATGAAGAAATTATCCCTGGTATATTGCCATTAACTTAACTCAAGACATTTTTCAGACTACCAGATTTTCTACTAATGTCTTTTTCTGTTTTAGTATTCAATCTGGGTTACTATATTGCATAAGAACCCCTATATTTTTGTATAATATGTCCAGAACCTAGAATAAGGTAGGATCTGCAGGTGTAGGTCAGGATGCCAGGCATGGGTGTTGATTGGTTAAAGGGTAGAAACCTTAT